ACATCATAACCAATGCAAAACTCAATTGTTTTATGTTCAATCCACACTTAAATTTTTAAAAACGAATAAGTTAACTTAACTCCTTCATGTTGTCCCAACACAAATCAATTGTGTGGAACCCAGATTTTTTTACAGTGTTATTTGTGAAATATAGTAACGATTTCTAAACATTTTATTTATTTATTTTTTACGGCGGCCGACAAACACTAAGATACAAACAGAAAAACACAAACAAATTGAGAAAACATTTTTGTCAGTTTGACAACATATGCACTCAATTTTAGAAACCTGCTGCAAATGACACAGATCACAATGGAAATGTCTTGTGGGGACCCCAAAAAGAAACAAACACAGCTACTTCCTATTTAAAGTGACCCATGTTGTCGGAGACTTAAAATAATATTTAATTTATCATTAATTATGGAATTAATTTGAATATTAGGGCTACAAAACAACAAGCATCTGTACAACCCTGATGATAAAATAAGTCAAAAACTCTCCAACAATATTGCTGACTATAAACAGGAAATAATAACACCTATTCAGTCATTTTCTTCGCAGTTTAGTCCCTTTATTAATCCGGGGTCGCCACAGCGGAATGAACCACCAACTTATCCAGCATGTTTTTACGCAGTGGATGCCCTTCCAGCCGCAACCCATCTCTGGGAAAGAAAAAATAATGATAATTAATTAAATTAATAAATGGCACGTTTCTGGACACCCAAGGTCGCCTTATAACAAACATACATTCATTAATTTTCTTTGGCTTAGTCTCTTTATTCATCAGGGATCACCACAGGGGAATAAACTGCCAACTATTTTGGCATATGTTTTACTCAGCAGATGCCCTTGCAGCCACAACCAAGTACTAGGAAACACTCTCACATTCAAACACCATGGCCAATTTAGTTTATTCAATTCCCCTAAAGTGCATGTCTTTGGACTGTGAAAGAAACCGGAGCACTTGGAGGAAACATATGCCAACACAGGGAGAACATGCAAACTCCACACAGAATCGCCAACTGACCCAGCTTGTACTCAAACCAGCGACCTTCTTGCTATGAGGCAACAGTGCTATGTTAAAACAAAATAGTCATAAGAAAGCCTCCTTAAAAAGATGGGTCTTAAGATGGGATTTAAAAGTGTGAAGACTTTTACTGTTCCTTAAATCCAAGGGAAGCGAGTTCCATAATCGGGGTGCCGCAGAGCTAAAAGATCCCTTTGTGTTTAATGGTGTCCGGTTTGGCACCAGAGAGATAGTATTGGAAGATCCAAGAGTGTGAAAGGGGTATAGTTATGCAAAGTTCAGTGAGATGATTGTGAATTAATACATTTTTACCATTAGAAGCTGGTTAATACTCACAGGCTGTTGCCACACAACTTTAAATGTAATGTGTATTTACACATTTATCGGCCACTTTATTAGGTACACCTGTCCAACTGCTCATTAATGCAAATTTCTAATCAGTCAATCACATGGCAAGAACTCAATGCATTTAGGCATGTAGACATGGTCAAGACGATCTGCTGCAGTTCAAACCGAGCATCAGAATGAGGAAGAAAGTTGATTTAATTTACTTTGAACGCGGCATGGTTGTTGGTGCCAGACGGGCTGGTCTGAGTACTTCAGAAACTGCTGATGAACTATGATTTTCACGCACAACCATCTCTAGGGTTTACAGAGAATGGTTCAAAAAAGAGAAAATATCCAGTGAGCGGCAGTTCTGTGGGTGCAAATGCCTTGTTGATGCCAGAGGTCAGAGGAGAATGGCCAGACTGGTTCCACCTGAGTATTATTTCTGATCATGTTAACAGTGTATCCATCTTCTGATGGCTACTTCCAGCAGGATAACGCGCCATGTCATAAAGAGTGAATCATCTCAGACTGGTTTCCTGAACATGACAATGAGTTCACTGTACTCAAATGGCCTCCACAGTCACCAAACTTAATCCAATAGAGCAACTTTGGGATGTGGAGGAACGGGAGATTCACATCATGGATGTGCAGCCGACAAATCTGCAGCAACGGCGTGATGCTATCATGACAATATGGACCAAAATCTCTGAGGAATATTTTCAGTACCTTATTAAATCTATACCACGAACGAGTAAAGCTGTTCTGAAGGCAAAAGTGGATCCAAGCCGGTACTAGTAATGTGTACCTAATAAAGTGGCCGGGGATTGTATACAGCACATTTATCATGTATGGCGATACACCCAAAGAGCTTCACAATCATGAGGATGGGGGATCGGGTAACTGTGTTTAAACCACTTATAAAAGTCATTTTTGCATAATAAGTCCCCTTTAACCTGCCATGTGCAACGACTGTTTCTTTCTTACCCTTAAAGTGGATTCAGACACACAAGTGCACCTGCGCCGTGCGGTTTAGACCATGTGCTTAGATTGTTAAAACAGAGCCCTGTTTATTCATTCTCTTTCAAACCTCCCCCTAAAATGTTCAGACCTCTCAGCATAGTGTTGAAGCAGTAAAAAAAAATCCACATCTACTTCTCCAGCCAGACGAGTGCACTGACAAGAAGTGTCTCCTCTGCACAGACAGCTGATATCTGCTCTTCTGCGGCCCCACTGGACTCATACAGCTTGATTCATGCGCTGGGTTGAGCGTCTGCATGGCCCCTGAACAGACGGATGCTGGGAAGGCAATGATAGATGGCCTGTTTGATGGAGAGAGGCACTTTGGCTGGGAATCAGAGGGCCGGGGTGCTGCTCGCAGTCAAATGCATCACAGCTCGCAGGATCCTGAAGCGTTCTGCTCTCTTTATATTGAAGTCTATGGAGAGATCCATCAGCAGACGCTCATTTATCAAACGCAGAGAGCGACTGTCACTGTGTCAGACTTCTGAATCGCTAACGTTCTGAGAATTGGGGTAATTATGCTGTAGATTTGACAGCGCGACTTTACTCTTCAGCTATTTTGACATAGGACCCAGTTCTGATTGGGTTCAGAATTAAATCTCTCCAAGCAGTTTTGCAAGTAAAGGAAATTCATCAGCTTGGAGTTATTATCCAGTCTGTTATGGTCAAATAATTAGATTTAATCAAAAATAACTGTTTTGTTAAATAATTCTGGGAAATGTATTTACTGGTTTAATAAAACTATTGAGCAGCCAAATTGGCATTGATAATAATAATAATAAAAGCCTTTTAATTGCTGGCTCCACCAAATGGTTGATTATATTTTGACTTTTAAATAATGAATGACTGCTTTAAACAATGGTTTACACTACAAAGCAAAATAATAATAATAATAATAATAATAATAAAAAAATAAAATAAAATAAAATAAAAATAAATAAATACATAAAACAATCAATCAAACAAAAATTATTCTGTTGCACTACTACACTTAACATAGGTTTTATTGTAAAAAAAAAAAAAAAAAAGAAAGCATGGTAAATGAGAATCTGTAATATTTTATTGCACACTTTAAAAATTGAAAATGATTTAGTATTCAAAATTATTTTAAATAAATTGATTTTACACTTAATCTTATCCGTTTTTCCATAGCATATGTATTAATTCCGGTACTTTTACCATAAACCGACATATCTACCATTTGTGAGACACTGATTTTTAGAAATTATGGGATGTGCTGAAAAAAAATTCATTGAGTGTGTTAACTAGTGACATTAGGAGTTGAAAAAGGCTATCCAAAATTGTATTTGCTTGGTAGGACAGTTAAAGGGATAATAATAATTACAATAATAGTTATTATTCTAATAAAATAATTATAATAATAATTATTATTTTCATTATTATTATTATTATTATTATTATTATTATTATCATTAATAATATTAATAATACATATTTTTGAGCAGTAAATCATCATATTACATTGATATTTGAAGTTCATGTGACACTCAAGATTGATGCAATGATGCAGAAACTCATCACAGCAGTGTAAAAGAAAATCTAAATAAAATGAAAATAGTTACTTTAAATAACATTTCACTAAATTTATACCTGTTGTTACTGCATTTTTGATCTAATACATGAAGCCTTGGTGAGCCTTGTTTTTTTCAAATAAAATAAAATAAAATAAATACAAAAAAAAAACAAAAAAAAACGAATAAATAAATAGATTTTAAAAATAATAATAATACAATAAATAAATAAATAAATTAATTAATAAAACAATAAAGGAAAAGAAAAGAAAGAAAACCTAAAAAATCAAAATAAAATCAAAGAAAAAGAAATACAAAAATAAGTAATATAATATATATTTTTGAAATTATAAAATAGTAAAAAATAATAATAATAAATTCTAAATATATATATATATATATATATATATATATATGTATATATATATATATATATATATATATATATATATATATATATATATATATATATATATATATATATATATATATACATACATAAAAGTTAAAGTCAATTTTTCCAATTTTATTTTTTATTATGGATTTGTTTAATTGTTGTGATGAATTTCTGCATCATTGCTTTAATCTTCAGTGTCACATAAACCTTCAAAAATCATTGGTTGTAGTGTTCGAGAGTGCGTGTTTGAGTGCATGGGTGTTTCCCAGTACTGGTGTGCAGCTGGAAGGGTATCAACTATATAACACATATGTTGGGATAGTGAGCGGTTCATTCTGCTGTGTCAACCGCTGATAAATAAGGGACTTAACCGTAGGAAAATGAATGAATGAATGAATGAATAATTGATTAAAATCATACACGGTACAACATCTAACCAACAGAAGCAGGCTATTGGAAAAGCAGGGTTTAGAGAGACTGGATTCTAGTGCTTAATGTTGCCATGTCCCTAACATGATCTATCATAACCAAAACATTAATTTTTATTTTATGCACTCTTGAGGCCCCCTGGTGGCCACTGGTCTCTAAGCAGCCACTTAGTTTGCTTTTGCTTCAGGCTGGCTCTAAGGGTGAGTAAATTATGGGGTAATTTAGATTTTTGGATGAACTATTTCTTTGAGTAGAGCAGTTATACCTGGGCGGGCAGTGCAGGAGGTTGCAGGGGCGCGTTTGACTGCTGGGTTTGGGGAGATAATGACAGGCTGCATGAGAAGACTCTCTGCCCTCTGACGACACACATTTAATCTTCTTCATCTGAGTCCCTCTGTTTCCACAGGACGAGCTGCACGTGCTCCAGTCGCCCAAACGCCACTCAAACTCTACAACACACAGAAAAAACACACACGCTTAGAGGCATTTTTCACATTCTGACTCCAAAAAAAAAAACTGACTATTGATTTGTGTTATTGCCTTATTTTTAATATTTTTTGTAACACTGGGCAAAGATTAATCGCATCTATACTTCCAAGTATTTGTATGTGCAATTGAAGTCAGAATTATTAGCCCCTTTTAATTTTTTTTTCTTTTTTAATATCTCCTAAATTATGTTCAACAGGACAAGGACATTTTCACAGTATGTCTGTTAATATTTTTTCTTCTGGAGAAAGTCTTATTTGGTTTATTTCGGCAAGAATAAAAGCAGTTTTTAATTTTTTAAAAGCCATTTTAAGGACAAAATTATTAGCCCCTTTAACCATCGTTATACAATAATTTGCCTAATTACCCCAACTTGCCTAGTTAACCTGATTTACCTAGTCAAGCCGTTAAATGTCACCTTAAGCTGTATAGAAGTGTCTTCAAAATATCTAGTCATATATTATTTACTGTCATCATGCCAAAAATAAAATAAATCAGTTATTAGAGATGAATTATGAAAACTATTATGTTTATAAATGTGTTGAAAAAATCTTATCTTGGTTAAACTTAAATCGGGGAAGAAATAAACAGGGGGGCTAATAATTCTGACTTCAACTGTATGCACATGTGTATTTATATATATATATATATATATATATATATATATATATATATATATATATATATATATATATATATATATATATATATACATAATAAATATACACAGGACACACACATATATTATGTCAAAACATTGTTTTATTTTGGATGCGATTAATCGCGATAAATTTTTGCCCAGCACTAATTGTTAGTTTTACAAATAGAGGTTTAAAATAGATTTAGATTTTTGGTGTTTTTGTTTTTATTTATTTTTTTATTAGACAAAATAATAAAAATAAAATTTATATTATTATTATTATTATTATTTTACATATAGATTAATTATTTTTCAAAACAAGAAAAACATATTTTTGCAGTGCGTCATCATGGCACATTTGAAAACGGATTAAAATTTCACATGAGGGCTAATCTATTTTCCTTCAACTTCACAATTAATATATTAATATTAAATTGTGTTCTACATTTGTGATAAATCAATGTTTTTGAGCAGCAAAGTGCAATTATGAAGTAATGTGACTAAGAGAAACATTGAGTAACCTTATATAACTAAATATAATTATAAGTGTATACAATATATTTAATTAATCAATAATTGTTCTTCTTCTTCTTCTTATTATTATTATTATTATTTAATACTCTAAAAATGTGATCTAATAATTATTATATATTGTTCTTCAGTATTATTTTTAATATAAGTGATACAATAATTTGTATTTTTAAAATTGTTATAGTAATAATAATAATAATGTTAATAATAATACAATGTGTGTTTTAACAACAGCAATTGTTTTTAATAATAATAATAATAATAATAATAATAATAATAATAATAATAATAATAATAATAATAATAAGAAGAAGAAGATTAATAATAATAAAATAACTTGTGTTTTAACAACAACAACAAATTTTTATTATTATTTTATTTTATATTCCAGAAATGTAATGTAATAATTATTATTTATTGTCCTTCAGTATTATTTTTAATATAAATAATATAATAATTTGCATGTTTAAATTGGTATAGTAATAATAATAATAATAATAATAAAACTATGTGTGTTTTAACAACAACAACAATAATTGTTTTTAAGTATTTTTATTGCTGTTGTTGTTATTATTATTATCATTTTTATTATTAATATTATTATGCATGCACTACTATGTAATATCTTTATATTATAATTATATTGTTTAATTATTGCAACAGCGGACGATGAACAACGGACGTGTGGATCCACATGAAGTTTATTAAAGAGAAATCGTGCAGGCAATGGTCAAAAACAGAAGCAAACCGGAGCATAAAGGTAATCCTAAATACGTGGTCAAAATACATACTAAAGGTCAGGCTATGGGGGCAAACAATCAATATAGTAAACAAGACACGGATCAAAACACAGCAAGCCAAACAAGAAAAAATGCTTTGTAATGTTTGTGGGAAAACAAGACTCACACAAAGAGTGTGTGTGGAGGGCTGAATATAAAGTCCAGCTAAGTCCGTGATGAGTTACCAGCTGTGTGAGTGTAATCAGTGGGAATCAGGAACCGGTGTGTGTGCAGTGTATGCTGGGAGCTGTAGTTTCTTTACTGTTGCGTGTGTGTGGTTTTCCAATGATCTGCAACTGGCAGATCACCGGCGATCACAACAATTATATTATAATTTTTATATAATTAATATAATAATTACAATTTTTATAACTGTAGTAGTAATAATAATAATAATAATAATAATTATAATAATAATAATGATAATAATAATAATAATAATAATAATATTAATAATAATAATGTTTATTTTTATTTTTTATTTCATATTCTAAAAATGTTATGTGATAATTATTATATATTGTCCTTCAGTATTGTTTTTAATATAAATAATATAACAATTTGCATTTGTAAATTGTAATAATAATAATAATAATAATAATAATAATAATAATAATAATAATAATAATAATTTGATCTCAAATTTGATCTCATCACTGTATAATTATATAATATAATATATTATGATGATTAATACAACAATTAATATAATTGAAAAAAAATATATAATTATATTAATGTCAGTTTTCTGCAGCCATATTTCCACTGACCTTGTGAGAGCAGGTGTATCCAGGCTGTAAGCTGCTGTTGGTTGTTGGTTTGTGTTTGACACTGGTATCTTCCGCTGAAGCTCCCCGTGTGAGTGTTGATCTCCAGCACTCGTCCTCCCACTAGCAGGCGATAGAGACCGCCTGCAGCCGCTGCCAGAGTCCGGTTCTCAAACCTCCAGCGGATGGGCCTCCTGTGACCGGGCACCACGGGGCAACCTGACGGACAGTTTGTGGAAATAGGGGTTTAATGTGATGCAAGTTTTTTATTTACTAAAGTGTGTAGGACACACACATGAAAAGTAAACAAATAATTGCAAATTTGGTTGCCATTGATCTTGACATAGAATTTTACATGCTTAACCCTATTGTACTGTTTCAATTGCCTACTCTTTTGTTATGTTTGTGGCTGTTTTTGCCCCATTGACTTACATTATAATGACATGTTCTTATTTCAAAGCTATGGCAGCATAAAACCATGCATTCTTGATTGTTGGTGGTTTTCCCTGTTGGGAAGAAGTAAAACAGGTAAAACAGACCCTTTAGATGGGCCTGTGCAAAAACGTTTCTGGCTTATATATGGAGTTCTATGGAGTAAAACAGTTGATTTTAGTGTGTGTGTGCATAAATACACTTACTATGTTTACTGTACTGAGAGCTGTGCTGCTTATTTTGATTTTCTCATACATATAAAGATAAGTCTCTTACACTATCCTCCATATAAAAGTTAAAAACTAAGCTTTTTTTTTTGCACTGAAACTGATAATCCATAGTAAAACTGACAAATTTTACCGCTTACAAACTGGGAAGTCAGTCATGGCTTTGCACTTAAAAAATTTAATTTTAATGAAAGTCAATGGGGCAAAAATAGTCACAAACATAACAAAATGCTAGTAAATTTGCCAAGAATGTATTGTTGAATTGGTTTACAATTATTCAAAGCATTTTCCCAAAATACCTGTCAAAATAAGATTTGTCACCTAAAAATCAATCCATTTGTTGACATACAGAGAACATTGTGGGCAATTTGAGATTCAAAATCAGCCTAGACTGGATCAAAACACCCCCAACAGCACGCATGGGATAAAATGATAAAAATACCATTATTACATGGCTGTCTGAAATACTCAATTCTGATTGGTCAGTTGCGACATTCCAAGGTATGTTATTGCAAGAAAACAACTGCTAAACATTAACAGTTTTTGACTATTTTTCACTATTTGGTCAAATCTTGTTACTTAATAATATGCAGGTTAGTTTATACTTAATTAATAAACTATTAAAGCTCAGAACAATATTTTGTGTCTAATTTTTAGGTTTTGTAGCAAGTAGCTGTGTAACAAGCAGGATACAGTACAAGTACAAGTAACAGACTACACATCAACCTGTGGCGCTAAATGGTAAAAATGCAAAGTTAAAAGAAACTAACAATACAGGCTCATTCTGAAAATGTAGTCCCGTGGACGTTTCTGGAGACTGTGAATTATGTAGCCGGAGGTATGTATGGCTGCATTTCATTTTTTAAGCGAACGCTACGGGCTGTGTGACACCATTCATTTTGACGCTTACCGGCTGACCGCTTACCTCCGTGTGGAGGGCTTTCTGGCCACAAGCAGTTTGTCGAGTTAGCTCGTCGCGTACGTCAATGGATTTGAGACGCAGAGAGAAGTTGACGACGACGACCGGGTTTGATTGCGGAAAGAGTGGCCCAAAAATCAGGTAAAACAAAACAGAATCCAAAAAAATAAAACAAACGAGTGAATAACAGGGTGAGATTGTGGTAAAATCCGAAAAACGTGATAAAAATCAGACGAGGGCTTTTCTTTTTCTGGACAGCTTTTGTAAACTGTCGGTTGGGTTTAGGGAAGTAAGCAGGCAGGTGGGTCAATCAGTAAAATTGGTTGGGTTTAGGGAAGGAGGAGGGTGGGTCAGTCGATTGGCCTGTCAATCATTCAGTCATTCAGTCGGTTGACCGCGGCCTCTGGTGGGTTTACGCGAGAACAGCGTGGGAGTGAATGGTACTCGCAAGAGACATTTGAAATACGAAAAAAGAACACAGCTGCTTCTCGCAGATTCGCAAAAACTAAAACTGAAAAAATACGTATCTCCCTGGACGTATTTTGCGGCCTCCAGAACTCATGGGACTACGTTTTCAGAATGAGCCTGGGTTTGAAACTAAACTGGCTGAATAAAGCATATACTGACCCATGTATTATTCATTCACAAGACGGCACCGAAAAGTCTGCCTAGCGACAGACAAGCAAACAAAGATGGTTGAATGGAGTATACACTAACCTACAAATTATTTACAAGATGGCGCCAAGCAGTCCAAAACTGCGGCATGACAAATTAGTATATAAATATGGATGGTCAAAGTGATTTGAAGTACCCGGATGAACCTGTGCTATTAGTTTAAGTGGTTGTTATCTTGGAATAACATACCTTGGAATGTCACAACTGACCAATCAGAATCAAGTATTCCAGACAGCCATGTAATAATCCCAAATAACATATTGGCTTCTGTGTGGCACTTACCTATGCGCAATGTGTCTCCAGGCCTGACATAGGCGCTGGTGCCGACCTGAGATGCCATCAAAACCCTCTTCCTGTTCATCTGCTTTGAGGACTGAAGGTCAGGTTCACCCACCGCTCCTGTTGGCATCAAATCAGCAATCAAACACAGCTTTCCTACAGGTACAGTGTGTCTGTGAGGGTTGAATGGGTTTGAGTAGCTGGACTGCTATTCTCAGAGGATTCTTCAATCAGCAGAGAGAGAGATTACGGCTTTTTTCATCTTTGATGGAGACAGAAATGACCTCAATTAATGAGATACAGAAGGATGTTGTGTCATCTGAGTCCAAATGAAACCTTAGCTGACTTCTGTTTGTTGCTTAGAAGATCGCCAGAGATAAATGTCCTTTATAAAAAACTGTCGTCACTGGTGTGGTATTTCTCAACAAGGCTTAAGTAGTGATGTGCTGCACATCGATGCTGGAGTATAAAGATATCGATACTCAGAAGCTTTAAATTTGTTATCGATAGTTTTTTAAAAGTATCAATATTTTAATAATTTCTGCATAACTAAATGTTTTAGTGCTGTGGATTGTTGGTGGCGCTTTGTATATAAGACGGTGGAATGTGGCGTGAGCGAGCATGTGCCCTTCAGCTAAGTTACGTACTCAACACATGCATGTCGCACAGCTTCGCATTACAGAATGGCACGATGGCAGAGAAGAAACAGCGTGGTGTGGTGCTATTTCTCATCAGCTGAAAGAGCGTTGCAAGATGCAGCATTTGTAATAAGAAAGTAGTACACAGCTACAATTCAAGCAGCCTTTATAAATACTTACAGACAACACACCCTGAAACTACTTATAAACAAGCAAAAAATAAAAAAATCTACCCAGTGTTCCTCTGCTAAGTTATAGGGAAGATTACAAATTATAATATAAAACATGATTTTGCATGTCTTTTGGACTTGTGGGGGAAACTGGAGCACCTGGAGGAAACACGACCTTCTTGGTGTGAGGAAATTGTGCTACCCACTGTGCCACCGTGCTGCCCAATAATAGTAATAATAATAATAATAATAATAATAATAATAATAATAATAATAATAATAATAATTAAACAAGTTAGAAAGTTAGCTAATAAATAAATAAATAGACAAATAAATAAATATATTAATAAATTAACAAACTAATGTTTTATAATAAAATCGGTACCACTATATATATATATATATATATATATATATATATATATATATATATATATATATATATATATAGTGGTTTTTATTATTTTATTATATACATTTAATTTATTTTCACTTCATTTTGAATTAATTAACAATAAATATAAAATAGAATAAAAAAACACTCTCATTTGTATAGCTATAGGTGGTGAAATATAAATGTTAAACTATTATATAAAAAATATAAAATAATATAAAAACTATTTGGCCCCATATGTATATCTGAATATATATAAATAAACATTTTAAAAATATATATTTTATTATTTTGTTTGTCCTGTCATTTGTATCGAAACAAGCAAGGCCTAAACTTCTTCCGTCTTTAGCTTGAGGCCTGTAAGACCTCCACAGATAAAGGTCCTTTATATTTCTTCATTGGCTGCACAGATGGATTTTACCACCCTCGACAGGCTCTAGGTTTCACATTATTTCTCAAACAAGAAGCGCCGACTGATGCCAATAACAATACAAAACTTGCAAATCTCTCGCTGAGCTCACGGACTCCAAAGGAAAGTGAGCCAGACCTCAGAGTGAGCTTCAGTTCAGCCCAAACACTGATGTCCAGGAGCTCCCTGTCACCCACCAAAGCCTTGAATAACTAGCGATGGGCAATATGTACAGGTTAGGGCTTCGCAATTTAAAGTCAAAATTATTCACCCACCTAGGATTTTTTCTTCTTTTTCAAATATTTCCCAAATGATGTTTGACAGAGCAAGGAATTTTTCACAGTATATTTTTTGTCTTATATTTTTTTCTTCTGGAGAAAGGCTTATTTGTTTTATTTCAGCTAGAATAAAAGCAGTTTTTGTTTTTTGAACCATTTTAAGGTCAATATTATTATATTTATTATAATATAATATCTGTCCGCAGCAAATGTAATAGAATGTAAATATGTGGCGTGTCATGGTGGCGCTCACGTCTGTTTTACATTGCAAGCAAAAGCAGTGCGAGAGCAGCGCGTTTTCCTTTCACACCAGCTGCATCTGTAGCGATCAGCTCTTCAGCAGCTGCTGCACATTCAATCTATCTCTGTTGTCACCGACTCTGTCCCAGTCATTCTCCTCACTGGCCAGCAGAGGTCATCATCACCAGACTATTGACATTACGTCATCCAATTACACTGATTGCAGACACACCTGACACGCATCCAGCAATCATCCACCACACACATATAAGCAGCACACACATGCTGCTTCATTGCGAAGTCTTGTTCTGCCCCGGCTAACACTACAGAGTGTTTTCATCCTTGCCTGCTTTCCCGTTGTGATCCTGCTTCGTTTACTGACCCAGTCTAGCCTGCCGCCTGCCTTGTACTTCAGCCTGAATCCCGACTTTGATCCTAGCCGCCTGCCTTTGAACTCTAGCCTGTTTTCCGACTCTGATACTAGCCGCCTGCCTTTGACCCATGCCTGCATACTCATCCTGTGTTTACCTGCCGCCAGCCCAAAGACTACATACTACTGTGTTTGATGTGAGTTTGCGCACGCACAACATCTGTGTGCTATTGTTTATTAAACTTTAATAAAAATACTGCAAATGGATCCCTCTGTGTCAGCCACTTCGTTACATCTGTCTAGTCTATCAAGTTACCTATCTCTCTCTATACAAATACATTTTTTTTTTTTTTTTTTTGGCTTTTCATCTGCACCAAGGCCCACAGCAACTACCTCCTAAGCTGTTCCTTTAACCTGCAAGTCTTTATTTGAGAAATTGTATAGATCATACAGTACTGTCTGCTTCCCAAGCTCTGTGAGGAGCATCATTCATGTCTGGTGCACACAGAAGACAATCCCCTGTGATATCATGTCATTTTATTTTTGATTGTCAGGATGTTGTAGGCCTAGTTATATAATATTTATACAATAGTTATAATGATATTTATACATGATCAAACTAGTGTTACTTTCTCCGCTTCAGTGATGTCCAGCGGCAGAGGAACAGCTCGTTAATTCATGCTCGTGCAAAGGATGAGATGGACAAAAGTAAGCAATGCAGGCCCTTCTTTTATTTATTTTCGTGTTGTCAGGTTCACAGTGCAAACAGCTCCCGGGTGGAATAACTTGAGTGAACATAAAACAAAGCCGAATAAAACTTTCTTCCTCTGCTTCAGCTGCACAGCACACAGCGAGCTCACATCATCCAGCATGCTTGTTGACTACACTACCCACAACAAACTTCGCTATGGACTACAACTCTTAAAGCGGCCACTTTCTATTTCCCCTCTCCTGCAAAACTGATACTAACATTGTGGCTCATTTGGTTTTGTTGTTCAGGCCTAAATAAATATCTGTTGCGGTTTTTAATCGTTTAAGTTCATTTGATTGACCATATATAAGTCTATCGCTGATATTATCGCTGCATTTAAAGGGTAAAATTGCTACTTTTTACTGTCATTCAATGTGTTTTGGTCATTATCAATACACTGTCACTTTAATTGAGCGTGAGCAGCGTGGTAAAAATAGACCCAGTGCCGAAACTATCGCGGCACTGCTGCTTCAGCGACACTCCTGCCTCTCTCTGCGTGTCATATGAAAGCTCTAATCTGTTAACATGGATGCTGAAAAAAACACGCACAGCTCATGCGCTGCTCATGCACTGCTTACGCCTGCAGTGTGAAACAGGCTTTATCGTCTGATTTGCGAAAGGCTGTTGCTTATGAAACCATCATTGTGTTTATAGGTACATGTAAGCAGCGTGACACATTTACAACCACACCCACTGCAACTTAGTGCAAAAACAGACTTTTCAAACTTCTTTTTGCCCACAAAAAAACCTTTCTTTGAAGTATCCCGTGGTCTTTACTCACCCTCCACACTGATCCGGCTGGAGGCAGCGGATTTGCCGATGGTGTTGGCAGCGATGCAGGAGTAGGTGCCTTCATCCTGCTGTGTGAGGTTTGTAAGGAGCAGTGATCCGCTCAGGAGAGGACTAGCACGGGCGTCCAGCGGACCCTCCTTTCGGTGCCAACTCACTGCTGGATGGGGGACACCTGCCCAGAGACAAACAGCAAATCAGTCCATTCACTAGGCATGGGCCGATAGACTCTGACGGTATGAAAACCTTGGAAAAAAATATCACGGTATTGGGATTACTACTATCCCAAAAACAGCAACTTTTTTCACATTGAACATAATATATATATATATATATATATATATATATATATATATATATATATATATATATATATATATATATATATTTTTTTTTTTTTTTTTAAGATGTACTGAAAACATTTTGGAACAGTAAACATGTCAGGCTAATTAATTTAAAATAATCATTGATTGAGTTCACAGATTTCTTTCCAACTTGTAAAGGCATATTTTGACATCTTTATTTTCTTTGGATATAAAGTAAGCCAGAGCACTGTTCAGTTCTATAGCAGGCTTGTAGGTGGATTTATAAGCAATTAGTTTTTTTCCAAACTGCGGTAAACCTGAAACCAGTTATCATCCCGTACACTCAGTGACCCAGCACTTTCTGAAGGTGCTTGAGGGACAAATTCAGAATAATGGATATATTACAACATTTATTCATTTTTCTTCGGCTTAGTCCCTGATTTATCAGAGGTTGCCACAACGGAATGAACCGCCAACTACTCTGGCATATGTTTCACGCAGCAGATTGCTCTGCTAAACATCATTTGGGAAATATTTAAAACGGAAAAAAAAAATAATAATCCAAGGGGGACTCATAATTCTGACTTCAACTGCACATTACAACAACTTTAAATTATTAGTTCATATAAAAATTGCAAATAAAAGCTCTTTTTAGGCATAATTTATCTTAAATGGTAATAAACATTTGTCTTGACGAAACTCATGGTGTTTTTGACTGCACCTAATAAATAGTTGCAGTAATTCTAGTAAAAAGGGTATATATTATTTTTTTTCACTAATTGAGTTAATTTTATCCTTTAGTATTTATTTTAAATTATAGTTTATTATGAATAAAATAAATAAAATATAAATGAATTAATATGATTATTTTTCTATTATTATGATTATTATTAATATAATAATAATAATAATAATAATGATGATAAAACAATGTATTATTAAAATATCATGTATTTGGTTTATATTTTAATAATAGTAATAATCATAATCATAATACAGTTATTAACATTATTATTATTACTATATAATAATAATAATAATAATAATAATAATAATCGTATTATCTTAACCATATTATTATTAGTAATAAAAAACAATAAATGCTATTTTATTAATACATTGCTATATTATGTTAATAATAATAATAATAATAATAATAATGATAATAATAATGATGATGATGTTATATAATTATATAAAATTTATAATAATAATAATAATAATAATAATAATAATAATAATAATAATAATAATAGTCCTATTATTATTATTATTATGGTTATTATTAATATTAAAATGTAAAACAATAAATTTTATTTTAATAAAACATTGTTGTATTTTATTATTATTATTATTAATATATATATATATATATATATATATATATATATATATATTTGGTCACACTTTACAATAAGGTTCATTAGTTAATGTTACTTAATGGATTTACTAACATGAACAAACAATGAACAATACATTTACTACTGTATTTGTTCCTGTTAGTTAACGTTAGTTAATGAAAATACAGTTGTTCATCGTGAGTTCATGTTAACTCTCGGTGCATTAACTAATGTTAACAGGCATAAGTTTGGATGTTAAAAATGCATTAGTAAATGTTCAATTATGAGTAATTAATGCTGTACAGGTGTTGTTCATGATTAGTTTATGTTAGTAAATGCATTAACTAATGAACCTTATTGTAAAGTGTTAACAATATATATTATTACTACCATATTTGCATAATTATACATTAATATTCAATAAAATTAATTATGTATGCAATTAAGTTTCCTATTTTTTGATATAATAAACACATCTCAGAATTGCCCCGTATATATTATATAATGTTAATCTGAAGGGTGCAAATTAGGGATCAAATTATTAATAATAATCAACAAAAATAATATTAATAATAATAAGTATTATCATTGTTATTATTATTATCATATTTGCTTAATTATACAAGTAATTATGTATGTAATAAGGGTTAAGGAGGGGGCGTTGGTGCGCGCGATTGCAGTCCTCACTATTCTGGCGCCAAGATAGCCTCTATGAAAGCGCCAGACTAAGCCAAAAAGAATATGAATGAATGAATGAATGAATGAATGAATGAATGAATGAATGAATATTAATATGTATAGAAAACAATATTATACTCTATATTGTACTTGACTAATGAAAAGACACACCGACCAATAATTCCCAAAAATAAACCTAAGCTCTTGACAAACCACTGAACAACAATCCAGGATTCAGAAGCAACTTCAATCTTGCCAAAAGTTGACTTCAAAGCTCAGGCAGAATCAGTCAAACCGCAGAACATGTTGATTCAAAGAGCAGATCAACAAGAGGCCAGCAGATTACCACAAATTACCAGTACAAATGGGCACAATGAATGCAAATTGCCTCCCTCCAGCCGGTTCCCATGGGACGACCCCACGAAAATAATGAGCAGCACATGGAGTTTTATGACCTGCCGTTCTGTCGAGTGGAGACATTAGTACTGACATACGGCTGTTAGTGGGAGAGCCAGATAACAGACACGTACTTGCAGTAGTGGAAAATAACTGTGAGGTGTATGTGTGTGCGGGCACTGACATACAGTCGGAGTCAAAGTTATTCACCCTGCTACGATTATTTTTTCTTTGTCAAATATTTATCAAATAATGTTTAACAGAGTAAGGAATTTTTCACAGTATTTCCTATAATATTTTGTCTTCTGGAGAAAGTCTTATTTGTTTTATTTTGTAAAGAATAAAAGCAGTTTTTAATTTTTAAAATCATTTTAAGTTCAACATTATTAGCCCCCTTAAACAATGTATATATTTTTTGATTGTCTACAGCAGTGGTTCCCAACTCCTGGGCTTTGGACCGGTCCCAGTCTGTGGATCAATTTAATTTCCGTTTTATTCATTATCTGAGTCTAAACGATTTTTTATTTTGAAAAACCTGCGCATCATTCCCTCATAGCAATCTAACGACTTGGCTAATAATATTGTGGCAGAAGTTAAGTCAAACTTCAACACAAAAATTATACAAATAATTATTAATGACAGATCACCAATAGTAATTAATAATAATAATAATAATAATAATAATAATAATAATAATAATAATAATAATAATAAGAGGAAGAAGATGAAGAAGAAGAAGAAGAATATTGATCAAATCAGCATAGTGTAATGATTTCTAAAGGATCAATTGACATAAAAGGTGACCTATAATGCCAAAATTACCTTTATGAGGGGTTTAACAGTTATGTGCCAAGAGTCTGTGAAAATAACCAGCTTATACTGGTAAAAATTGAGTTATTTTTATTAATCACACTCAATAAAACAGTCTGCAGAAACACTTTGATTGATCTTTTCCCATTGTACGTGTCATCAGAGGGGGTAAGCCCCGCCCACTAGTGACCATCTCTCCCCCATTAGCATAGGACCTTAGTCTTGTATTTAAATCTGCCACTATGCTGACACATAAGCATTCATAGCCCCGCCCTCTTTTAAAAAAGAGCACAATCTCATTTAAATTTAAAGCGACAGTCACCAAAATGGCACAATCAGGATCAAAGCCTTAAGGGGGCCATTTCAAAGACTTATGAGACATTATTCCTGTGGTATTTTGAGTAAAACTTTACATACACAACCTAGAGACATCAGAGACTTATTTTACATCTTGTAAAAAGGGGCATAATAGGTCTTATTTAAAGACTAAAGTAAACCTTTTGACCAGCAGTATTTATTGTGGATGACTTTGTTGCAGCATTTTGTCTGCCACACAGTTGCTGGTGTTAATATATTATTACTGTGGGCAAAATATCATGACAGTTATCGTGAGTTAACCTGTGATTTAGGCATGGCAGGAGTGGATATGATTCAGATTAATAGTGAATGTCGAAGTGACCTCAGTGTTTTCTCGGAGAGGGAATTTCCAAATATGCGCAGGAACATAAACTACAGGATGATGAGGCAGAAAATGAACATTCAAGAAGAAATATTACATACAAAGTGTTTATCTGGCAGCGCTGACCACCTGCCGATTGCTTCTCAGAGAAACACAAGCTGCACACCAAGGTTAAAATAGTTTTGGATTTTTCATTAGTTTTAGTTTTTATTTCATTTTGACTTTTTGTTTTCAAATTCAGTTAGTTTTAATGAGTTTTTAGAGAGAGATTTACTAGTTTTTATATTTTGAAATTATTAAGTTTAGTTTGTATTAGTATCAGCGTTAGTTTTTTTTCTAAATAAGGATATTTGTTAGGTACAAGATTCGAAATCAACAGAATACATACTGTATAATAAAATCTCAGCCATACATGTTTTGAAACGTATTCAGAGGACACATGAACACTATTATCTACCACTACCATCTACCCATCCTCAAACTCAAATACAACAGTCCACAGGATAGCAGTCTTAAAGGTTCAGGACACCCTGGAGAACTTTTTTTTATATATTAACAGATGTGTGTGTGTTGAGCATCAGTTAAGACAATGTTAGCACCTGTCAGCTTTAATTGTGGGGAAAACTGGATAATTTTGAGCTTTTATCAGCTAATTTCAGCTTCCGGTTTTAAAATGATTTTTGGGGCGGGATCAAAATCGGCGACATAGCGCAGAACTGCAAGTGCAATGATGACGCGTCGGTTTCTCATTATTATTCATAGTGGAGTTTTCTTCTCCTATGAGAAGAGCCGGCTGCTTAATTATTCATGAGACCTGCCAGACCTGCCAGAGTCAAGCCTGAGCTGAGAGACACGTCACGGACCCAAGGCACGGGCACACAGTATTTAGCCGTTCATGAAGGCTCATATGCGTTTGTTTCCATGATCCACGCGGTTTGTTACATGTTTTCCCCTGCGATCTTGTCAG